AATACGGTTAATCAGCTAGACAATAAATAAAGGTCGTCGCTCACGTGGAGATCGCACAGTTGCTGCTGCGAGCCGAGGCTGACAAGGACTTGCGGGATGATGATGGCACGACAGCCCTCATGGTGGCAGCCAGCGCTGGCCACACAGAGATTGCACAGTTGCTGCTGCGAGCTGGTGCCAACAAGGATTTGCAGGATCACGAGGGCAGGACAGCTCTCATGTGGGCGGCTAGACATGGCCACACAGGGATCATGCGCGTGTTGCTGCAAGCTGGTTCTGACAAGAACTTGCAGGATTATCGGGGCAAGACAGCTCTCACAGACGCAGCTGAAAAGGGTTACACCGACATTGCCCAGTTGCTGATGCAAGCTGGTGCCAGCAAGGACTCGCAGGGTCCTTATGACGAGACAGCTTTCATGGAGGCATGGTGCCAGGGCTACACAGAGGTCGTGTGGCTTTTGGTAGGATCTGCAGGCATCATAACTATAATGCTGGTAGCTCGGAACGGTTATACTGAAATGTCAAAGCTGCTGCGAGGCACAAGGCCCGGGTTTTCGACAGCTTGGTGTCATTTTCAGCGAGCACTGTACATATGGTTGTGAGTGCTTCGCAAAAAGGGTCCAGGTAGCAGATATTGGAACTTAGACTTGCGCCTAGAGCAACGGGACGCCAATACAGAGAGAGAACAAGATTGGAAGGACTCGGGTATGTTGAAGTAGTAGGTATCCAAACGTAGGGGGTTCAGGGCTTACGATGTTGAGGCTCTTGTATTTTAACAGCCACTAGTGCTGGGCTAAGGGCCGTCGCGGAGGCAGAGAGGTGAGAGTTCAGCATCTGAGGAAGAAGGGTTATCAGGATAACAAGTAAGTAGCAGAAACAAAGCCTGATGAGCAATAGAAATTGCGCATAAGCTCTTATGCAAAACGAAAGCCCCCAAGCCCTGAACCCAACATCAAATTCAATGGTCCTGGGATCTCTCGAAGGCTCAACATGTTTGGCCCATAGATGCACCATTATTAGGGGTACCATTTTAAGGGGTCCCTAGAATGACGACATATAACGACTATAGTATTCTGGGATCTAAATTTGGGTCCCCCTATTTAGGGACACTACGAGATGGAGTGCCATTATTCAGCTTTCCAAGAGCAAGGAGCCGCGTCCTGGGACCCCAAAAGCACGCTGCCGAGTGGTCCGATTCGGAGGAGACGCAGAGGTCGGAGGCCGGCAGCTCAGCCTTTAAGGGTGCCATACTGGGTTGCTGTTAAGGAACTTAAATTAAGTTACCATAATGGGTATATATAGTAAATGATAGGGTTTCCCCAATATTGTATTTTAATTTAAGTTCCTTAACAGCAACCCAGCACATTCAGAGGGCAGGAACCACAGGCACGGGCTTTCTGTTTTTTCAAGCTTTGGCTGCAGAGACTCAGTTCAACCAGAAGGATGGACGTGGCGTTCCTGCTGGTGTAATGAAGTTCTGCATTCGGTCCTTCTTAGTGCTATCGAATCCTTTGCTGTAACTTGTAGTCCCAGTAGGAGGGGCTGCAGGGTTGTGCTTGGGGTTTGGGATGGGTTTGCATGGGATACTTGCACTGCCGTGCCACAATCTATCGAGTTGCAGCTTGTGGACAGCAACATCTGGCCGTCACACTCATGGCCTCTGAATCTTTTAGCTTCAGGGAGACTAGGTTGAACAGATGAAGCAGACTGATTCTCTCTATGCTGCTGCGTTGTTTTGTGAAGTGACATACAGGGTCCTTATTACGGTGTACAGGGATTATGTTATGGAAAGAGGGAGCGGACAAGAAAGATCCCTGATCAACAACAAAAGGTAGCCAGCTTACTCATAGCCATGGCATCTTGTAATCTGAGCTACGGCATGCACAGAGCCTCAAGCAGTAGGAGACGAGCCTTGCATCGGCGTAAACATTTCGGGGTGACATCAGCATGGTGTTTGCTGAAGTGCTTGGGGGGCGCCTGCAGTGGCATCAGGTGCTGAAACTATCCCAGACCACGAACAGGGTTCGAAAGCGGAGGTTGTCGGAAACCTGAAGTCAAAGAATTTCAGAAGTCCAACAGGGAATTTACATGTTCCCTAAGCAAGCCAAGCTCCCGACACCAAGGAATCATCCGACAACGATAGCGAAAACAGTGATGCGAACGAGCAGCGTCCTTGGAGATCTAGCTGGGTTGCGCAATAGTCTAGAGGTGAGTTGATTTCGAGACCGCCCCTTGCAGGACGAAGGGGGAACGACATCAAAACCACACAGCCAGCTCTTGATGGTCATGTGGGTCATGTGGCCCTGGTCTTTTGGGATACGTAGAGCCAGGGATCTCTTTGTAGTAGCTTTGGGCCCTTGAAACTGCATCTTTCCAGCTTCGCGGTAGACATGAAAATCATGGTTTGTCGTGACCCCGCAAGCAAGCCTGTCACTCTGGCAGAATGGAGGAAAGCCAAGAACTGACAGACATGAGAAGCTGCGAAAAAGTTCTTCACGTTACCCAATTTTCCCCTAAACTCTGCACATAACTCCCGCCTCCCTTCCTTGCAACGATCATCCAGACTGTCATCATTCCGTTTCTGAAAAGATATCAACGCGTGCGCCTTCCAAGAGGGTCCTGTCTGCAGGTATGCAGAGGGCCTGGGATTTGCGGATCGCAAGCGATGCTCCGAGAAAAGCAACAGCCAGTTTGAGTTCGACCATCATCCAAAGGAGGACTCGAGGTGTTGAGTGCATCTCACTCTTGCTGTACTTGGGATTGGGCATAAAAGTTCCAGCTGTAGACTGCCTTGCCTAAAGGCGGTAGCTTGCCTTCATGTTGGCAGGCCACGCTAAGCCCCGTCTCTGTATGGGACTGCCGCAGTGCTTTATCCTTGTGTCTCATGGAGGTATGGAAGTGGGATTCAGGGTCCCTTAAGCAACGGATGCAACGGATAAGGAAATGGAAGCTATTGTTTAGGGCCTATGGTTTGGGATGTAGCGGATAAGGTAATATTACTTCCCAGAATGGAGAAACAAAATCCAAGGGCCAAGGAAAGGTAAACTGGGATCATGTGGGCTCATATTGGGACGCGATGAAAATTTCTCACAAGATGCCACGACTATCCGTAAGAAGAATACATGATACTTCAATTATTGTGGGGGCGTGGTGGGGGTACCAGGGGGAGGGAGGGAACCCTGAACCCTGAACCGGAAACCTTGCATATGAGCTATTGTCTAAACTCCTTAAAGGGCATGATATAGCGGAGTATTATAGGGCTTATTAAGGGTGGTACTAGGAGGTCAGGCTATAGTTCATATAGTCTAGTTTTCTGCCAGCCTGCTGCGCCCCTGAACCCTAATCCCTAAACCTTGAACCCTAAACCCTATACCCTGAACCCTAGCCCCTAAACCAGGTTTTCCAGAGCCCAAGGTTGAAGCATATAGGTTTGGCGTGGATATAAGGTGTGGAGATCAGGGTTTAGGTATCACAAGAGCTGTTGACAAAGAACCTCCTCTTTTCGGAAATAACAGAAAAGAAAATGAAAACCACTATACTATTACAGTATTATAGTATGATGGTATTATGGTATTACAACATGTGGCAATCTTCTCTCCATTTCAATGTTACCCTTCGTAACCCTGAGATGCCGTTTAAACCTGAGACCCAGCCCACCCAGGCCTCCAAACCATAAACCCCTAGTCACGAAGCGCCGTATCCCGTGCAGGAGTATTTCGAGGAGCCCAAATCCCACGTTGCTGATGCGGGCCAGTTTCTGGGTCCACCTTTCAGCGTAAGAAAAAATGGGGTTCAGGGGTTCAGGGTTTAGTGCACCCTCTTAAAGCTCGACAATTGAAACAGGTGCTGATTTTCATGATGCATGTCTGCAGTGCTGAAGGGTGCCCCAAGATCAGCCGCTTGTTGGTAGTTCCCGTCAGGATTTGGGGATCGGTGTTACTTTGGTGAAGACTCTCGAAAGCTTAGGAAGGCTTGTGTGCGGTTGCATGCCCAATAGGCGAGCAATAGCCTAGGGCGGCGTCCTTGTCCTGGATGTCATCAAACAATCCTCCACCCAACTTTTCTTTTCAAGAGTAAACATCCTTAATACATTATAGCAAACTATCATGGGAAATTTCAATATCAAATTAGGTCGGGGCTTCATTATTGGTGGAGGGCTGGGGTCAAAAACTTCCGTACTGTGTGAGTTGAGAGGCAAAGAATTTCCTCAACTCTTCCAGGTGCATTGAGCTACCGGTACTCCAGAGTTCCACCAATAACCGCCAGGGGCTGCCAGGCCTACTGAGAGAACTCGAGGCTGGGCTATGCCCAAGACACTTTAATGAATGAATCTATCCTAAAACATTTTTGGGGTTCCTAGTTGAATATGATCTAAGTAAGGTATTTGGGCTGGCTGGGTAGAGGGCAACGAGGTTTTCATAGTGAAGCTCCACACTCACGTTTCAGGGTTTAGGGATCTAGGAGAATTGGGCTAAAAGCCTTGCTTGAGGGGTATTCGGGTCTCTGGGTAACGGGTTATGACAACCTCACGCGGCCTGCCTTCGAACTTGTGGCCTATCTAGATGTAACCGAGCTTGTCCTCGTATTAGGCCCCGGGCTTATTCTGCAGTTGAGAGTGTTCTCCATAGGGATCTGCAGCATGGAGATGCTTGAGGATGCCATGTGAAGGCTGTTGCAAGAGATACTTTCGATGATTCAGCTGCCTCAGCTTCTGGACGCGAACCCTTCTCTCGACTACCTCGACAACAAGGGTTCACAGCTGCTCATCTTGGCATCATGCAGTTTGGAAGCTATGAGGTTTGAAAGAATCTCCGTCAGGAACCAAGGCGGTTTGAAAGAACTTCTGGAAACCAGTTTCAAGTCGTGGCCAAACACAAAGTAAGTTAGCATTCTCCTCTGGTTGAAGCATGCCTTTTGAAGAAAGAATATCATCTGACTTGGCTCAACCATTCAAAAAGCATCCCTCACCACCCTAAACTCTAAACTGCCCTCCAGTCTGCTTAAGACTCCATCCTCCAGGGCCTTTTCAGGGAAAGGGGTATGTAAAAGTAGTAGAAAGGGTATGTAGTTAAAGCCTTTTGGGGTGTTGGGTGGGCATAGGCACATTTTTACATATGTATATATATATATATGTATACACATATCTGTATGTGTGGGTGTATATATATATATAAACATACATGTGTGGCTTGTATGGGGCAGTCCAACGTGTAGTTGTCCTATACGTCCTGGCAGGTGCGAGAGGCCGTCAAGGACTTGCAGAGACATGCGATGTACGTTTGCCAAATGTACTCTGAGAAGGGAGTTAACGAGTGTTTAGGATGAAAATACGTTGCAACCCTACATGACCGTTACATAACCATGAGACCGTGTCGTCCTAATAGAGCCTGTCCAGACTGTACAATGTCGCAATGTAGTTTCTTTCTAGAAAGGGGCTTTCATCATTAGCTCTAGGCGCACTACATGGTCGCCATGAACCTTGGGCCCATCAACGTTAAATCATACGCATCACTCCCCGTAGTTATGCCCTAAGCCCTCTCAACCCCCTACATCCCCTTAGGCCTTAAACCCCATAAATCCTAAACCCCCTAAGCCCTTGACCCCCATAAATTCTCAACCCCCTTAAGCCCTGGACCCCCATAAACTCTCAATCGCCTTGAGGCCTACTCCCCTCATAAATTCGGGAACCCTGGGGCGCTGTGAGAGGAGCGCTGCGCAAAGCGCCGGCGGCTGCGGGCCCAGCGCGGGCAACCTGCGCAGGGTCTGGCTTGGGTTTCTTATAGGGGTTATGGGGTTATACAGGGTTGAGGGGTTTAGGGTTTAGAGATATGGAAACTACTATCTAGTATATTGTGTTATACAGGGATACTGGAAAAGAAATGGAAACTACTACATTATATTAGGGTATGGATGAGGGTTATAAGGGTTTATGGTTTCGTGAGTTTCCTTTTGCGGTTTGGGGGGTTTAGGGTGTGCTCTTGTCTTGCGGGGTCTGGTGGTTAGTTTTTTTTGGGGGGGGAGTGGGGGGGGG